ACAGCGAGGCACTGGCGCGAGGGGCGCGCAAGAGGCGGGGTGGCGGGGTGGCGGCCCAGCGCCCACGCGCGCCACCTGGCGCGCGCTCCCCCACGGGATGGGGGAGGGGGGGAGGAGGGAAGATCGACCGAGGCTTTTGGGCGCGTTGGACCCTGCTCGATCCTCCAGCGGAAGAGGAGGGACGAGGGAGGGGAGAGCTCCTCCCCCTGCCCCCGTCCCCTTCTCCTCTTGCCAAGATTATGTGCTTCCATGTTTCTACCGCGCATTTTCGTCCTGCATACAGCCGTAACGGGCCTTTTTCCCTCCGCACGCTCGTCATCGTTGCCTCGGTCATCGTCCCCCTTCCTCTCCTCTTCTGCTACCTCCTCCTCCGCCTCCCGCCCCTCCTCATATTTCTCCTGCGTCTCACGGTCCTCATTTCCCAGCTTCTCCTCCTCCTCCTCCTCGAGCTCCGTCTGCTTCTCTGGCTGCTTCTTCTCCTGGGGCGCCTCCCCCTGTCTCTGCTTCCGCCCCATTCCATCCTCAACGTCCTCTTTGTCGCCCCACCGCCCTCGTACACCCATTCCTCCTCCTCAGCCTCCTCTCCTCCTCCTTCACCTCCTTCCCCTCTCCATGTTCACTTAGTCCTGCTGATGTTCCCGCTGCCGCCCCTTCTTCTTGTCATCCTCCACCTGTTGACTTTGCTGGTGCTGCTCCACCGACTCCGACATTGTATATTCAACGCGTAATCGCGCTCCCGTGTCAGTTGCGGGTGGGCATGATGCCCTTCAGGCTGTCGACGTCTTGGCACGCTCCAGTACAGACCTGATGGGACCAGCATTTTCCGAGGAATCGGCATCTTACCTTGTTCGTGCTTGTGTGGTTTTTGGGCTAGGCTTTGTAGAATCCAGGCCGGCCGATCGACTCTCCAACCAGTCCATGCGCATAGTCTCCAAGCAGAACCAGCTCTCTTGTGTCACGAAGTTCAACAGAAGTGAATGTTCTGTGGGGTGCGAACCATTTCCGCAAGCTTGGTAATCACAGACCGCTATGGAACCGCGGACACGCACTTGGCGTATGGTGATTGCCCTTTAACAGAAATGAGGGCTGGGCCTGTGCGAGGTCAAAGTCTACGATTCGTATAAAAACCTGCTACTAATACTACGAATGATTAGTAGTACAATTACTAGTATTATTATTACTGTTACTACTTTTATTACTATTAACCTTCGCCCGTGAAGCCCTACTTCAATTAAAGTTTTGTACGGCTTAATAATCGGAGCGGGTTCTGGGCCAAACCCTGGTTCAAATTCGGACCTGGTCCCACAAAGAGATTTCCTGCTGCAGACAGACCCCCTATGAACCTTCGCGTTGCCAAATTATCATTTCTTGGCTCAACTCTTCCCCCCGGTGTTTCTTGGGATGGGCAATTCCTCGCATCTGGACGTATCTCGAACGGGTATAGCGGCAAACTGTGGGCTCGCGGCCTACCCTGCCCAGATTGACTGTCCGACCCCACCACGTCGCTCACGAAAGAACCCGAACTGCGGCACCTGCCGCATTCTTCGCCAAGGACCTTGAGTGCGACAGATCGCTCGGACCAGGCGAATGCAGCGATGTAACGTTCAGTGTCCGCCTACTCTTCATCACCGTCGCCAATTCGCTTCTCCTCCCAATCCAGCTCCTCCACCGACTTCTCCTCCTCCCCCTCACCCTCTCCAGCTCCCTCTCCCCACCCCTGCTCTCTCTTTCTCCTTTTTCCCTTCCCCTTCTCCACCTCCCTCTCCCCCCCACTCTCCCTCTCCTCCTCCTCCTCCTCCTCCGCCTCCTCCTCCTCCTCCTCCTCCTCCTCCTCCTCCTCCTCCTCCTCCTCCTCCTCCTCACCATCATTATCCTCCGCCTCCCTCGCCCTCTTCCCTTCCTTATTTTTTTCACTTCTCCTGCTCGTCCTCCTTCTCTTCCTCCAATCCCTCGTTCGTTGCGCCTCGGCTCCTACAATGTGCAATTAGCAGCGAACAAAGAACAACAAGCTGACACATTAACATGTGAATGCATTGCCATAACACCTCACATGGTCATGCACAAGGCCCTGCTGACCTCTTCCTCGATCCCCTTGCACCCGTCTGGCGCATCCTCCATGACCTCCGACCGTAACGTCTCCCAACGGGTTGGACGACCTCTGGTCGCCCGAGTGCCGTTCACGCCCCCATCGAGCGGGTCGCCCGCGCTGGCGTTCAGCCATGTTTTCGCGCAGCCAGCTCGGAGGATGCACTTTGCAAACCACGGATGCAAGGATATCTGGGTGGCGCCCGAGGTGCCCGTGCCAGTTCCTTCGCCGCTCGACGCAAACAGCGCTCCACGGCTTCTCTCGCAAGCCTCTGGGAGACTTGGCCTGTCGCGTTCGTTATGCACGGAACGTCTCCCCGTCCTATACCTCCCTGCCTGCTGGATGGCTGCCCTCTGCACCTCGATATCAACCACAGGACGCCGCGTGCAGCAATTTACGGCTCTTGTCTTGGGTCGTTGCGCCCAGGGGTTGTTTGTCCATGGACCCATCCTCGGGATCAATGAAGGTAAGGGCGGGCATGTCCCCCTGCAGGCGAATTTTGGACGAAAAATAAAAAATGCCCAACAAACACTCCAATCTTGCCAACTCAACAATTACTCCGACGGTAGGACCCCACATGAGAATATGTTTAGCTTACCCTTTGCCCTTTCCTCCTCCCCCTGGTGGACACCCTCTCCTCTCTCCCCCTGCACTGCCCTCTCTTCCCCCTTATATGTCTCTTCCTCCTCCTCTTTCTCCTCATCGTCCTCCTCCTCCTCCTCCTCCTCCTCCTCCTCCTTCTCCTCCTCCTCCTCCTCCTCCTCTCGCGCCATCTCCTCCTCGTCGTCGGCCTCCCCCATGCCCCTTCCCTCCTCATCCCCCTGCCTTTTCTCCATGTGCACCTCCCCTTCCCCCTCGTCGGGGCAAGCAAATCCATTTTCCTCAGCGCCGTCGCCGCCTCGGCCAGCGCCTCGGGAAGCGGGCCCCATAGGGAGGGGGCTCCCGCCTGAGACTTCGTCGCAATTCACTCACAGACGAGGCTCCCGCTCGAGACTTCCTCCATATTCAGGCCTCAAGAGCCCAAAAGTGACGACAGTTGCACGTTGCGGATGGCCCGCTCGGATTCGAACATGAAGTGCGGGCCCCATAGGGGGGGAGCTCCCGCCGGAGACTTCCTCTCAATTCACTCACAGACGAGGCTCCCGCCTGATACTTCCTCCGTAATCAAACCTCAGGAGCGCAAAAGTGACGACAGTTACAGGTTTCAAGATGACCCGCTCGGAAGCGTAACATAATCTGCGGGCCCCATAGGGAGGGGGCTCCCGCCTGAGACTTTCTCGCAATTCACTCACAGACGAGGCTCCCGCCTGATATTTCCTCCGTAATCAAACCTCAGGAGCGCAAAAGTGACGACAGTTACAAGTTTCAGGATGACCCGCTCGGATTCGTAACATGATCTGCGGGCCCCATGAGACTTCCTCGCAATTCACTCACAGACGAGGCTCCCGCCTGGCCTCAGGAGCCCAAAAGTGACGACCGTTACAGGTTTCAGGATGACCCGCTCGGATTCGTAACATGATCTGCGGGCCCCATAGGGAGGGGGCTCCCGACAGAGACTTCCTCGCAATTCACTCACAGACGAGGCTCCCGCCTGATACTTCCTCCATATTCAGGCCTCAAGAGCCCAAAAGTGACGACCGTTACACGTTTCGGACGACCCGCTCGGATTACCAACATTAAGTGCGGGCCCCATAGGGAGGGGGCTCCCGCCTGAGACTTCCTCGCAATTCACTCACAGACGAGGCTCCCGCCTGATACTTCCTCCATATTCAGGCCTCAAGAGCCCAAAAGTGACGACAGTTACACGTTTCGGATGACCCGCTCGGATTACCAACGTGAATTGCGGGCCCCACAAGGAGGGGGCTCCCGCTTGAGACTTCCTCGCAATTCACTCACAGACGAGGCTCCCGCCTGATACTTCCTCCAGAAGCAAGCCTCAGGAGCCCAAAAGTGACGACAGTTACACGTTTCGGATGACCCGCTCGGATTACCAACATGAAGTGCGGGCCCCTTAGGGAGGGGGCTTCCGCCTGAGACTTCCTCACAATTCACTCACAGACGAGGCTCCCGCCTGATACTTCCTCCATATTCAGGCCTCAAGTCAGCGAGTAGTGATGATGATGATGATGATGATGATGATGATGATGATGATGATGATGATGATGATGATGATGATGATGATGATGATGATGATGATGATGATGATGATGATGATGATGGTGATGATGATGATGATGATGATGATGATGATCGTTCGGTGCCGATGATGGTGAGTGATCGTGCGATGGTGATGGTGATGCTGATGGTGATGATGATGATGAGTGGGGAGTGATGGTGATGATTATGATGATGCGGAGAAGGAAGCAAAGAGGAGCAGAGGAGAGGGAGGAGGAGGAGATCCTGCGCGGAGGGTGTGCAGAGAAAACAAGAACCCCACTTAGGATGTGGGGAACAATTCACTCACAGACGAACTCCCGCCTGAGACTTCCTCCAGGTGAGTATGTGAATGAGTGAGCGTGTGACAGAGTGCAAGTGATGATGATGATGATGACGATGACGATGATGATGATGATGATGATGATGATGATGATGATGATGAGTATGTGAGTGACTGAGCGTGTGAGAGAGCGCGAGTGATGATGCTGATGTTGATGATGAGAGAGTGTGAGTGAGTGTGAGTGTGAGTGAGTGGTGATGATGATGAGTGAGTGAGTGAGTGTGCGAAGGCAGAAGAGGAGAGGGGGTGGGGTGAGTGTTCCTGCGCGGGATGTGCAGAGAAAACAAGAACCCCACTTTGGATGTGGGGAAAAAATCGTGTCCTCTTCTCCCACGCCGGTCCTTCTCTGGCGCGCCGGTCCTCCTCGGGTCCTCCTCCCCAGGTGGGGAGGAAGTTCCAGGGGGTGGGAGGGGAGAGACCTACGCATCCATCCCTGGGGGTCATCCTCCCCCTCCTTTCACCTCCCGCGCCGGTCCTCCTCTGGTCCTTCTC